TTTGTCAATTATTACTTCGGTGGACTCAAGAAAATCACCATAACAGATGTGGAGCAGAAGCTGTTGTCTATGAAGTCGGCATGTCCTGATAGGTTGAAGATGGCTGTATTGTTCTTCCTTGGTCGGGTTATCAGAGGAAAGACAAAGGATAACGGACCAATTGACCCATTCATCTTAAGGATTGTGGGAGATTTGGAAGTATGCAGAACATTTCCTTGGGGTCGTCTAACATTTGAGGATGCAATAAAGGAGATTAAGCATACGATGGAGCTTCTAAAGGGTGAAGTGAAGCAGGCAACCGGCTTCCCTGGATTCATAATTCCGTTACAGGTAAAGCATAAGTTTAATAAAATTTTAGTTGTTTAAAACCGAAAATCTAATACTGTGACAATTTATTTGTGTAGATTTTGGCTTTTGAGTGTATTCCTAGGCTGGGGAAAAAATTTCGAATCCCTGCACAAGACCCATGTGCCGATTGTCCTAGGATGTGCAAGAGCCGGTTTACAAAGAGTAGCATGAAGGGTTATCCTTTGGAAGATATATATCAAGCGCTTGGAGAAACAAAGGTATATGTATATAAATTTTGTTAGAAACTAGCAGAATAGAAAATTTAATGTTTATTATTTTTTTGTAGACTATTAACAGTGTGCTGGTGCCAACTCTGGGTGAGGAAACTATGCTGGCTCGTATCATTGATGAGGAGCCAGAGTATCGTTGTGGGGGTAGCACAAGTGATACGTGGAATCACTGGCTAACCGTGAAGCAGAAGAAAATATTTTGGCAAGAGCTATATGACTTGGATGTTGCTGCACGAGAGTTTACAAAGAAAAAAGACAAAGAAGAGGTGAAGTTTGAAGAAGGATCATCTTCTAAGTCTGATATGGAATTGAGCTTGAAAGGTNGAAATGGCAGTCCAGCAAGAGAGTGCCCCAGTGAGAGATAAGACTTTAGTTTCGCTCTCACTTGATGCTGAAAGTGAAGACAGTGAAGACTTGTCAGCTGTATCATCCAAGGTATATTTTTGTATTCATTTTAATCATTGTTAGAAAGTCATATTAGTCTTATTAGTTAGGAATGACTAATACATATATATATATATATTGATTGCAGGCAAGGCAACCACCGCAGCCTCTTGAGTTTTACTTCAACAACACACAGTTCACGAAGACTTCCAAGATTCAAACTAAATGTTTGGTGAAGAATACAGTCGATGTGATTAAGAAGTTTAAGGAGGAGGTAGAATGGTTCACAAGTCATCCCCAGTTTTGTCATTTCTTCCACATGCCTGAAGAAAAATACCTGAAGCTGCAAGCAATGTGGATGTTACTCATGCGCACCATTAATATTGAAGGAGATGATGCTGCGTGGTTTGGGGTGAATGGTGTGCCCATCCGCTATTCTATGTGGGAGCATGCCCTCATCTCTGGCTTAGACTGCCATGAGTACCCGGAGAAATATTTAAAGCTAGGAAATAAAAAGTTTGTCAATTATTACTTCGGTGGACTCAAGAAAATCACCATAACAGATGTGGAGCAGAAGCTGTTGTCTATGAAGTCGGCATGTCCTGATAGGTTGAAGATGGCTGTATTGTTCTTCCTTGGTCGGGTTATCAGAGGAAAGACAAAGGATAACGGACCAATTGACCCATTCATCTTAAGGATTGTGG